GAACATTACATATCTCGAAAGAAGAGAAAACATGCAGATGTTGTTGAAATTTTTCAGTAAATATTTAGTTTGGCCCATGACTTAGTCCCAGTTTTTAACCCTCTCCGGCTCAAATAAATTTTTAGTATCAGGAAAAATCTGATATTTGGGGAAAATGATCATATGGGGTAGTAATATACAATCCTGACTTTTTTTGAGCGAGAGACCTTCACACGCAGTGCGTTCTTAGATGTTGCAGATTTGCAGCATTGGTCCGGTGTGGTAAATTAACACTGAAATGATATGAATTTATGAACTAATTTGAAATGAAATGAAATGAAACTAATTTTATTTGTATACCACTTTTCATAACAATGAAAACAGAAAGCAGAGTGTAACAGCTTTACAGTGGCAGAACAACATCACTTTTTCGTGTGGTGCTCCAAGAAACAATTTTTATCCTTTGCAAACAACAAAAGTACTTTGCACTTCTGGCAGGCCGTTTGTGTGTAGTCATTCTTACACAGTCTGCATCATCCACGTTTATCAGCATGGATGGGAGAAAAGGCTCCTGAGTAAAAAAAGCTCATAAAATATGGATGTGGAGTAAGTAGGTAACTTGCATTTAGCTGTTGTAAATCTGCAACACCTGCCTGTCAATTTTGACCCTCTGTGAATTTGAGTTTGTTTGGATAATTTTGGATAATTTTGGATAATTTCAGCTCCAGAATTGCCAATCTCTACTGAACTAAAGGTAAAAGGAGCTGTGAAACTTGAAAACTACTGCTTCATGACATCACAAGGTGGCAGAGCATTTTCGGCTTTAAAGGTGCATTGTGTGTCTTTTCTGGTAGTAGGTTCATCAGATGTTTTTCTCCATTAAGATGTTGTTGCTTTGTCTGAAATGTTTCGCAGAGTAACATTAAACCTTTCTATCTTCATGGAAACCAAAGAAGACCAGGTCACAGGTCAGTGGAGAGGCGACCCCGCTCACAGGCAGAATGCCTGTTTTTCTAGGTATTTTGAGCCATAAAACATACTGTGGAACATTCCATGAGGAGTAATGACATCTTCATAGAACCAAGTAGGTGACGAACCCCTAACGAAAAAGTTACAGAGTGCACCTTTATGGATACAACCAGGCTTATAATGCAGGATTACTTAAACATGTGTGAATGAAGCAAACCACGTCTCCAGGTCTGTTTTTAATGAGGTAACAACTTTATAACATGGCTTCAAGCTCACAACAGTCAATTTTACGTAATATAGGACCTAATTTATGGAATGTAAATGATAATGTCTTAATCTTATATCGCTCACAGCAAAACAAACTCTTACATAATATTCCTGTATTTAGATTTTGATCTAGTACTTGCTTCAGTGCACTCTGGTGAGAAGCTCTACTACATTTCATCGCACTGAAATTGATAAGTGTAATGACAATAATGTTGAATCAAATTTAATCTAATACAGAGAGTTTTAAAGGCAAAATTGAAGTTGAATTGAATATACAAATTATTTTAAACACACGTGCAAACATATGAAGAGTATACACAAAGATTAAAAAAACATAAGGATAATTAATAGATCCAGATTGAAGTTTTTAATAAACTGATAATATGTAATTAGTTTGTTTATTTGCAAGGTTTTCTAATGATTTAAGATAATATTTGAGATTATATTTGAATTGAAAGATATTTGGATTGATATTATTCCACTTACAATAGTGAATAAAATATTTTCCATGTAAAATGAGAAAATGTAACACATACACTACTGCTCCAAAGTTTTAGAACACCCCCGTTTTTCCAGTTATTTATTGGAAAACAAGTCGTGCAAGTCCAGTGAAGAGCTTGAAATGATACAAAGGTAAAAACTGAACAGACGGAGGTTAAAAAGAAAAATGAAAGAACAAAACACAAGTCCAAGCTCTGCAAGACTACCTCAGGAAAAAAGAACAAGATGGTAAAGCTTGAAAACATGGAGTGTTCAGCAGCACAGTGTCCAGACTTAAACCCCATCGAGCTGGTTTGGGATGAACTCTACAGAAGAGTGAAGCAACCTACAAGTGCCACACATTTATGGAAACTTCTGCAACAGACTTGGAAAGAACTTTCTGAAGAATATTTGATTTCTATTGTAAAAAGAACAAGCCACAAGTGTGTTCAGCTGCCAAAGGTGGACACTTTAATCAGTCAAAAGTTTAGAATTCAGTTCATTTCAATTGTATTTTTTCCCCTACAATTTTAAATTATAATCACACAAGGCACACAGTTATACACACATATAAATATGTACACATATTTGACATATATATTATGTATTCCACATGAGTTAACTGTGAAACAAAAAAAACATGGACTGTCAAAGAAGCTGAGCAAGCTTATGGACATGGGCTCCATCACCACAGACTGATTAATTTAGTGACTTGACAGGTTAAGTTTTGGTAAAATTACAACCACAGACAAGACAGTAAATTAAAATAATAGATGCAAAACATCTAAAACAAACAATACAAAACAAATTAAAATAAGTGAAAGAGAAGTAAAAACAAAAAATATAATAAAAATGAACTAATAAAATTTTAATAAACGAAATCAAGTAAAGGGTTTTGTATCTTTTTAGCAACAGTAAACAGTAAAAAACTGGAAAAAGTGTGGTGTTCTAAAACTTTTGACCTTTTTTTGACCTTTTTTTAATCAATATTGTTATCAAAATAATAAAGTAAAATATCCTCAACCTTAGTTCCCACACCACACAAAGATTTAAAAAATGTTTTCAATTTCACACCAAAAAAACATATATTTTCTGTAATACAAAACACACATGGATATGTTGGATAGATCAAATATATAATTTAAAAATAAACCTCTGTGATTTTATTGTTAACTGAATATCTGTTGTTAGAAACCCAAATTTTATCCCAGTCAATATTTGAAAAAGTTTTATGCCAATAAAATTTGCATTATTTATTATTATTTCAAAACACTGTTGAGCACTTCCTGTATTAACACATGACATCACAAGGTGCAACGGCATGTTTTCTGTTTGAGAGAAAAACTCTAAGTCTAAATATGCAGAGTTTGTGTGAATGAAACAAAATACAACTGCAGGTCTGTTTGTGATGAGGAAACAACATTAGAAGAGAGATCAGACACAGGGTAATATGAGCCCTTTAAGTATTTCTCCTTGAAGCAAATTTCTCCCGTCAGCGTCCTGCTCCTCTTGATGTCCTTGACCGTCTCACGGCCGCCGTATCCCTCCACCCCGCACATACAAAGGGCCATTGAAGCTCATGTTATCTCACAGAATGGAGATGCACTGCTTTATCACAAGTGGGTCACAGCACATCCAGCCCAGGGCGAAATCCTCCACCGCTCAACAACTTAGCCTAAATATCCATACGCCGTGAGCACAAGCAAATATGAGACAGCCTGGTGTCGTGGAGAATATCTGTGGACTCATTTATTCTAATCACACCATTAACTGTTAGAATATTTAGTGTAAATGAGCCTTGGTTAGTGGAGTTGCAGAGTGGTTTGTCCATGTTATTTCATATATTTCTGTTTTCTGTTATAGACAGGACTTTTCACCATTCATAGGGTTTATATTTAAATGTTTCATTGCTAAGGTTTAACTTTTTCATAATTCAGCCCAGACCCATACATTTGTTATTGGAAAATAGGTCACCCCAATGTGGGCCCCTCAAAGTTAATGGGGTAAACTGTGTTCTATGTTTGGATTTTCCTGTCACAGAAATACAATGATGATAATAACCTTTTCAAACATGTTTGTAACTCGTTGTTTGTCGTTGTGTGACCAGACACACAGGTTGTGTTATAACACAAGTCACACAAATGATGTCAAATCACACAAATAAACACACAGTGTTAGTGCGTGGTGTTTCTGTGTCAGTGTTGAAAGGAAAACTATGAAAGCTCTTTAGTTACTACAGTAAAATATGTAACTTTGTGCTCTATGCCAAAATACAGTTACTCAAGAATAAGTATTCTGAATTCTTAATATATTAGATGTATGATGAATATTTAGTGACTTAACACTGTCATTAGTGGAGTTTGCATGTATCACAGAGGGTGTCCTTTGGGTGCTCCAATTTCCCCAGTAGTATCACTCCAGATAGGTGCCCCTGACCAAGATCATGACCCAACATCTAGAGGTGACAGGTGACAGGTGACAGGTGACAGGTGAACCCCGTTGCATTGAAGATCGGGTCAAATGCCGAGCATGTAATATACATCCAAAAGGACAAATTAGTGTAAAACAAAACAAAACAAAAAAACATTTTTGACATAGTTTTATATCATTTATAACTCAGTGGTTGGACTGTCATCTAACCTGGAGGTCAGTAGTTCAATCCCAGCACCATGCACTTAGTTGTGTCCTTGAGCAAGACACTTCATTAACCCTGAACATGGGTTATGACTGAGTGAGTGTTGTGGTGGTAGGAAGGGCTGATGGAGCAGATTGGCAGCGTCATTTCTGTCAGAACTGCAGAACTTTATTCATTATTATTGTGCAAAAGTCAAAGTAGCCTATAATTTATCTTATCCATTGTCCACTCCGAATTACATCAGAATTAAATTCTATATTCAAGTCATTTTAGGAGTTAATGATTTTTGTTGACTTTTAAAAAATTCTTCAACACTTTCCATAAAATCACAATTCAGCACATTTATTCTTACTTTTGACGCACCAAATCATGAATCAAACTTTCCCTTTGTGTCCACTTGGCACCTTGCTCTTCCTCGTTAACACCGCGCAACAATGCCACGATTCATGCAGCCGTTTACCCTACAACACCCTGCCATTAATCACATGTCAACACCCAAATCCCCGAACTTTCTTGCAAACTCCCAAACTCCCAAAACGTAAACAACAAACTTCTCAGACAGCGGCGTTTTCCTCTTTCCGCGGCTTAACCTGTCCAACCCCAGTGCTCTTTGTGCCGCCGGCTGATCGTCAGACAGGCAGAGGCGGCATTCTTTTAGCTTGCTTCAACATGCACCCATCTCTGCGCGCTCTCTCCTCTGCAGCCCCGTGAATCTCTCGCTCTCTCGCTCCCACGATCCACTTGGGAACTTTGTCAGAGCGAGCCAACGTCGCCAAAACTAACGACAACCAGACGAGACGGGACGCCACCCTGCTGCCGTACGCTTCCACTGGATCTTACCTATTTCGGATTTTTTATTACGCATTGGAGACGCTACGATGACTCGCGTTGCCTCATAAGTGGATTTATAACCGACTTTTTCGCGCTACGAGGATGTCTATCGTCGCTTTTGTCGCGTCTCGTGGAGTAACCTTTTGAGAATGAAAGTTACGGTGTGCTTTGGGAGGACGCGAGTGGTGGTCCCGTGCGGGAATGGGGACATCAAAGTGCAAAATCTCATCGAACAAGCCGCGATGAGGTACAAGAAAGCCATCGCGAAGGTAAGACCGCTTTTCAACTCTCGCTGTCTCGCAACGCAGCCTAAACATGGCGCTTTTCATCCCGGTAAAGAATACGGGAACGTGTGGGGAGATTTGTGCCAACGGTGCGCCCCGGGACTCGGGTGACACTTAACGGGGATGGAGGGATAGATGGAGGGGGTGTATGAACTTTTCTTTGTTGTTGGAAAAGAGAGGAAGAACGGAGAGAGAGACAGAGAGTGAGAGAGAGGGAGAGTGTGGTTGCGTAACGTTAGTCAGCAGTTCTCGGCGCTGTCAAAAGTCGTGTGTGCGTTTGGACAGAAGTAGAGGAGGTTAGGTTGTAATGAAAGCGAGAGAGAGAGAAAGAGAAAGAGGGAGCTGGAACTATAATGAGAGCGTACACGTGTTGGAGTTACCGCAAACTATAAAAAGGACATGTCTAGAATTGTGCGTAAAGACGCGTTTTAAACTTCCTGCTACTTTAAGATTAACAGCTACTATACTATTAAATTTTTCATTTTTAGCCACTACTACTACTACTACTACTACTACTACTACTACTACTACTACTACTACTACTACTACTACTACTACTACTACTACTACTACTATTAGTACTACTTGGAGTGGCCACAGACAATAATAAAAAAGACATGTCTTGAATTGTGTGTAAAGAGACGTTTCACTTAGACTGAGACAAACTTTATTGATCCACAAGGGAAATTATTTGGACACAGTAGCTCAAATATCACAATATAATACAATAACAAAGAGGAAAAAATATATAAATCGTAATGATAAATACATACAAAAATAGCAAGAAATTGGTGTCAGATAAGGCAGAATTATGAAAATGTATATGTACAAGTAAAATAAAAACTCAAATCTAGTACTATAAATACAGTATGTCACAGTTACATAGGCTTACAAGTGCAAACAAACTCTAAAACTTAAAAACTGTAGGTACTAGGGATGTAACAATAGCCGAAATATCGTGATATCATCAAAAGTCTCACAATAATATCGTGGGCTGTCACAATATATGAAATTAAGAGTTTCTTTGCTTAAATGCAGGTTTTATAGCAGCAACAGCTAATAAACATCAGGAACTACATATCCCAGGAGTCATTTCAGTGCAGACAACATGAAGAAATATGTTTTTGACTTGAATTCTTGGGATTATGATGGAAATAATTCACACCAAAATCTTGTCAAGGTATTTTAAAAGCAAAAAAGTGTCCTGTGTACAATTATATCAACCTCTTCAAAATATCGTAATAAATATTGTGCCGTGAGATGCATATCGTGGTAATATCGTATCGACAGATTTGAATATCGCTACATCTCTACTAGGTACAACTACGATTACTATTACTAGTACAAGACCTACTACTAGTGCTATTACTACTATTACTACTACTAGAGTCCAGGTTATCAAGAAGGAGACATTTTAAAGTTCCTACTATAGGGTAAATACTATAGCTTTCATTTTCAGTTTTGGTACTACTACTACTACTACTACTACTACTACTACTACTACTACTACTACTACTACTACTACTACTACTACTACTACTACTACTACTACTACTACTACTACTACTACTACTACTACTACTACTGCTGCTACTACTACTACTACTACTACTACTACTACTACTACTGCTACTACTGCTACTACTACTACTACTACTACTACTACTACTACTATTACTGCTACTACTACAGCTACTACTACTACTACTCCTACTACTAACACTACTGTGATTCTACAAGTGTGGCTACACATCCTGTAGTGGCCACAGACTGTAAAAAAGGAAATATCTTGAATTTTTAAAAAACAGATAATTATAAAGCCTACTACTACTTCTACTTGTACTACTAGGTTACTACTACTAGTATTACTATGACTATATGTGATGGGATGCAGATTATAAAACTGACATAAGAATTGTGTGTAAAGAAATATTTTAAAGCTCCTACTGTAGGATAAATACTAGTTTTCATTTTCAGTTTTGGTACTACTACTACTACTACTACTATTACTTCTACTACGATTTTAGAAGTAGTGCAGCTATGGGTGTTGGAGTGGGTACAGATTGTAAAAATTACATATCTAGAATTGCGTGTATGAAAACATTTTAAAGTTCCCACTACTATACGATTCCATTTTAATTTATAGTTTTAGTGCTACTACTGCTACTTCTTCTATTACCTCCTACTACAAATCTACAACTACTACATGCCAACTGCCAGGCCTACTACCACTCCTGTTACCTACTGCCACTACTTCTACAAAACCAACAGTAATTAAGTCTAATACAAATGAAAGTATTATGTGTTAAGTATTGTTATAACGTGACTCATGGTAAATCCAACTGTTATTATCGGTTAGACAACTCTACTTTTACTTACAGTACAAATACAATTCACTTATACCTTAGAACACCTTCTTGCAGTCAGGCTAAATATCAATACTTCAGTTAGAATTTAGTAGAGTAGCGATTGTAGTAGGTGGCCTGTAGTAGTGGTGGTAGTAGGTCTAGAGTAGTAGAAGTAATAATAAAGCATTAGTCTTATAGCTGCAGAAGTGGGAGTAGATGCAGAAGTATGGTACTTTTTACTTCTATTTGCACCTACTTCATGTTATAATGTAGTTTCCTCATCACAAACAGACCTGGAATTGTATTTTGTTTCATTCATACTTGTTTACTACACAAATTCTGTGTATATGGTTCGTTTTTTCATCTTTTATGAGTGCAGGAAAGAAGACCTAAGTGTATTTTTTGGTATACACACATACGCACACATATACAGACACACACAATCCCATGCACATAAAAATCATACACACACACTAGGAATGCAACAGTAACCGATATATCGTGATATCGTGTCGTCAAAGTTCTCACAATAATGTCATAGACCATCACAAGTCGCTTTGCTTAAATGAAGAGTTATGGTGCAGCAATAGCAAAAAAAAAAGACAGAGGGAACTACATAGACCATGATCCTTTGCTCCATGTATATAACCATTTTTAAGTCTTAGTTCTAAGCACTTTTAAGTCTTAGTTCTTTGGATTCTTTGGAGTCTTGTTCATTGGATTCTTTGGAGTCTTATCAAGGCATTTTAAGAGGAAAAAGAAGAATATTAACAGCTTTGTTTGACTCCACAAAATATCGCAATAAATATCGTACCATGAGATGTATATCGTGAAAATATCGTACCGAGAGATTTGGATATTGTTACATTCCTAATCATGAGCCTCTCCACCATATTGTAAAACCAGGTACTTATTAGTCCTACTGCTATTACTTGTACTACTAGGTTACTACTATGTGATGGGGTGCAGATTATAAAAAGGACATAACATTAATTGTGTGTAAAGAAATATTTTAAAGCTCCTACTATAGGATAAAAACTAGTTTTCATTTTCAGTTTTGGTACTACTACTACTACTACTACTACTACTACTACTACTACTACTACTGCTACTACTATTACCACTACTATGATTTTAGTAGTAGTATAGCTGCAGTAATTAAGGCTACTACAAATGAAAGTATTATGTGTTAAGAGTACAACTGCTCAAACACGTGTGAATGAAAAAAAAAACACTCCAGGTCTGTTTTTGATGAGATAAAAACATTCTAACATAGCTTAAAAAAAGTGCACTGTGTAATTTTTTTGTTGGGAGTTCCGTCACCTTCTTGTTTCTATGGAGATGTCATTGCTCTGCCTGGAATGTTCCACAGTATGACATTAAATAGCTCTACTGTACATTTATACAGTTACAGGTGGTTTTATAGCTCAAAAATACTTAGAAAAACAAGCATTCTGACTGTGAGCGGAGTCGCCTCTCCACAGATCTGACCTGTAACTTGCTTTCCATGATGAAGAAAGAAAAGCATTTGATTTACCCACCAGCAGAAAAGTTACACAAAGCACCTTCTACTTGTACTTGTTCCAGCTCTTGTGCTTGTAGGATCTTTAACATAGCCGTGCTCTATTGGATACTGATGCCTCTCCTCGTGCCCACTGCTGTGAATGAGTTTAGGCTTGGTGCTGTCGCCATAGTTACTTAGCTCCCCCTGTGCCAAACCAGTGCCATTCTTATTGTTGTCACGATCTTCTGCTCAAGGAACAGGCCTCGAGATGGGACATTTGATCGCCATTATAACTCTCACTCAGGTATCTGCTGATAAACCCGACCTGGAAAGTGAAAGTGGAACCTGAGTCGAATTTGCCTGTGGAGCAAGTTGATAACTGACAGTGAAACTAAATCTAGGCTGTAGTGTTGTCACGTTAGTAATATTTATTTCTTGATTTCTCATCTTGATTTCGCTGAGTCTGAGTTATATGATTTATAGTTCAAGATGAGTTAGGATTTTGCTTTGTGCATTGTTTAACTTTGCTGGTCAAATGCTTTTCTCTATGGAGATGTTATTGCTTTGTCTGGAATGTTTCACAGTATGGCATTAAACCTTTCTGTCTACATGGAAACCAGATCAGATCAGGTTTCAGGTCAGATCTGTGGAGAGGCGACCCTGTTCAGAATGCCTGTTTTTCTAAGTATTTTGAGCTATTAAACCACCTGTAACTGAACAAATGTAAAGTAAAGCTGTTTAATGTCACACTGTGGAACATTCCAGACAGAGCTATGACATCTCCATAGAAACAAGCAGAAAAGTTACACAGTGCCCCATTAAAGGGCCTATATTGTGCTGTTTTCTGATCTGATCTATGTTGTTTCCTCATCACAAACAGACCTGGAGTTGTGTTTTGTTTCATTCACACAAACTCTGCATTTTTAAGCTGAAAACACTCTGTTCCACCTTGTGATGTCATGTGGTAATACAGGAAGTGCTCCACTATGTTTTTAAACTCTATACACCTTCACTTAAGGGTGTAACGATATCCAAGTCTCATGATAAAATATCGTCATGCTATGAACCTCACGGTACGGTATTTACTGTGATATCGTGGGAAAGCTCATGATATGGTGGGGAGGCTCACGATT